GAAGTAACTCGGACATGTTCAATAGAGCCATCTATGCAGCTGCCGTCAGCACTTCAGCAAAAGTTTTGCTCGCTCTTCACAAATGAGCTGGGCCTTGCAAAAGGTTTTGTTCACAGGATTAAGACACTCGGGTGTTCAGCCAGTGGCATCAAAAGTTCGCCGGCTTCCTTTCATGTTACGACTACGCGTGTCTTCCGAACTGCAGCGCCTGGAAAGCTTGGACATCATTGAACGTATCGACGCGTCAGAATGAGTGTCCCCTATTGTAGACATTCAGAAGAAAGATGGAAGTATTAGGCTTTGTGTAGATTTACGCGAACCTAACAAGGTCATCGTTCCGGACAGCTTTCCGCTGCCTCACATGAATGAGTTGCTTCAAGCCTTGGTGGGTGCTACGCACTTTTCCAAACTCGACTTAGCGTCTGCCTACCACCAAGTTCCGCTGGATCTTGAGAGCAGGGACTTGACAGCTTTTATAACACATGAAAGGCTGTGCCGGTTCAAACGCGTTTGTTTTGGGCTAGCCTCAGAACCTGCTGCTTTTCAGAGTATGCTGTCTCGAATCCTTCGCAAATGTGCGGGTGTCCTCTTTTACATCGACGATGTAATTATTTTTGGTAAATCAGCTGAGGAGCACTTCAAGAACTTGGAGGCAGTGTTGCAGCGTATCAAAGACGCAGGTCTGAAGCTCAACAGCAAATGTGTGTTTGTAGTTCAAGAGCTTGAATTCTTGGGCCACAAGGTGACACCTAGTGGTATTTTGCCACTGTCGGGGAAAGTGGACGCAATTGTGGAAACGCCAGTTCCAAGAAATGCCACTGAACTCCGCTCCTTTCTTGGGTTGGTGGAATACTACGCCAAGTTTGTGCCACACTTGGCCGAGATGGTAGAAACAATTAGGGCTCTTTTTAGGAAAGGCGAAACCTTCAGCTGGTCTGTTGAGGTGGATAACAGTTTCCGCGTGGTAAAGGGGGTATTATCGTCAGATCTTGTCTTGCGCATGTTTGGTTCTGCGCTTCCAATTATCATTTCCACTGATGCATCCAAATGTGGTCTTGGAGCAGACCTTCAGCAGCACGCCGATAATAAGCTTTGTACTGTTGCTTTTGCATCGCACGCTATCTCCGGCTGAAAGAAAGTACGCAGTTGGCGAGAAGGAAGCACTTGCAAGCATTTGGGCATGCGAGCATTGGCATGCATACCTGGGGACGGAGCTTCACTCTTCGAACAGACCACCAGGCCCTCGTTTCGCTTCTGTCTTCGCAAGGCTCAGGCCGACACCCACTTAGAATTGCACGTTGGTGCACAAGGCTACTACGTTACAATTTCACGGTGGAGTACCAGAAAGGCTCATCTAACAGAGTAGCCGATGCTCTTTTGCGGTTACCCGTTCATATGGCAGATGGAGAGCTGACTTTTGAGGAGAAAATTGCTTACATAGTTCAACCGAGTTGCCTGACCAAAGAGCAGTTTGAACAAGCGGTTCTTGCTGACGCCACTCTTCAAAAGGTGAAGGAGTTTGTAAATGGGTCTTGGCCGTCACACAGAGACTTGCCGGAAGGTCTGGAACCATATTTCAGTGTTGGAGACGAATTGTCAGTGTTGAGCGAATTGTTGTTGCGTGCAGAGAGGCTTGTAGTTCCATCATCTCTCGTGGCTCAACTTGTGGCAACAACACTTGAAACTCACCAGGGTATCGGACGCACCAATGCCAGACTTAGGGAGCAGTTTTGGTGGCCCTGCATGAACAGTCACATGGAAGAAGCAGTCCACAATTGTAGCATCTGTCAAGCAGCAGATAAATCGGCAAAGACGTTGCCTGCCCCGCTGCAACCTGTCGAGCTACGAGAAAGACCATGGTAGAAACTTGCAATAGATATCGTTGGTACCCTGGAGAGGGTGCCTCCAGATTGCATATTTGTGCTGACACTCGTAGATTACTTCTTAAAATGGCCAAAAGTACAGTTTTCAAGGGAAATTTCTACAAGAACCGTGACCGAGTTCCTGCTCAACGTATTTGCACGGGAAGGCTATCCTGAAGTGATAGTCTGTGATAATGGGCCCCAATTCACGTCAAAGGAATTCGTCAACTTCCTACAACAACGAGCGATCCGCCTGTCGCACTCATCTGTTTATTACCCGCAGGCAAACGGACAGATCGAGCGGTTAAACTGCACGTTCAAGACTTACCTACAACTGGCCCGTCTAGAACAACGTCCGCTGCGAACTGCTGTACGGGATTACCTCGCCGCATACAGGTGCACACCACACGCCACAACATGAGTGACCCCTGCAGTACTTTTACATGGAAGGCTGCCAAAAAGGAAGCTTGACATCTTTGGCTTATCGCCCGAGTCCTTCGCAAAGGCACCCTACCAGGAGCTGGCCAGGCTGCGGGAACGTGTCGAGCGCAGGCAAGAGTACAGCAAAGCCTTCACCGACAGTAGGCGAGCCGCTTAACCGACAACAGTGGCAGTAGAAGACATGGTGCGGGTGAAGAAACCATCGGTTTCATTCAAAGGGGACACATCTTTTTCGAAGCCAAGGAAAGTCATCGAGCAATGCGGCCCAGCATCCTTCATTCTCGACGACGGCAAAACATGGAATGCGGCAAAGCTGTGCAAGGTGCCTGCTCGGCGCCCTGGCGACAATGGCTTTCAGCAACATTCTGCAGGGCGTGAATATTCGTTTCATCATGATCCCGGAGACGCGACGCTTCTCGCTGCAACATGGCAGCCAGCGTCCGCCAAGGCAAGTGCTCCCGCAGCGAAACCTGTGCCTAGTGCAGATTACGATTCGCGCTCGCCAACGAGACCAGCGGCCGGACAATTTCCTGCTTCAGAAACTGTTTCACGCCCGCCCGTGAACACTACAGAAGAACCTGTGGTGTCGTGCCCACCTGGTCGTCGCATTCAGCCGCACCGAGAGAGATGGCGACCGGACAGATATGGTTATAAAGTGTGAATGTGTAAATGTTCCTTAGTTGGTGTACCTGTTACCTAATGTATTAAATATTTTTGGTATGTGTATAGGTAATTTTGTGTGTATATATTGATGTGTATTTCTTGTTGTGTATTTCTCGTTCCACATATGAACTGTGCACAATTAACCTGTACTAACGTACTAACATCTTCCCAAAATAAAAAAAATAAATGAGGGAGGGAAAATTTTGTATCCTGTATATAGTAGTTTCGGTTTCTGTGTTTGAGCTGGCAGCACCGGGTCCTTGTGATTGTATATATTTGTAGAACGTCTAATAAAAGGGAGAGTATGCAACCGCTACCCGTGAGTGCGAGTAACGTCACTCGTTCACTACATGTACCATACTCGCATTCAAGGGTTGAGCCCCGGGCGTGCTTAAAGGAATTCTAATAATGTGGTTAGTGTTGTGTTGTTTGAATCGTTTAACATTGAAGCAGCTTTGTCTATTATTGTAGGAATTATCCGTTATATTGATGCATGTGACGTGTTAATAACCCAATAATACAGAAAAAAGACATGGCTCTGTGGTAAAATACTGGGCTCCGACGGACAGCACCCAGGCTCGAACCCCATGATAACGGTTACGGACACCAGCGGCAGCGACGCACAACTGCGGCGTCAAAAATGGCTTTTCTGATCTCATAGCAGTTTTCGCAATAAGAGACACCCCAAAGAGGGCAAGTGGTTCAAGAATGTCCTACAGAAATAAAACCACCAGGTGTGCGCAGAACGCGAAGCCAGCGACAGCTGGAAGAGCAGCCTTCGGAGCTTTTTTGAAACACTCTTTGGGTAACTGCTATAGGCGCACTTGCACGGAACTCACCAGGCCACGAATCTTCATAGCTGTTTTTTTTTGAAGCTACCAACGACTCACTCGTTCAGAAATTCACATTGTTTGACGCCTCATTGCTCTGTGGCTGTTGTAAAATGCTTTATAACTCATAATAACGCAATCTATTTCCCGACATCAGCTCATCAAGCCTGCCTAAGGCATGTTTGCAACGAAGATTCAAGAACCGGCATGACTCAGCGGTAGAAGACTAGGTGACACACACGTGACTCGGACTCGAGTCCCATCGTGATTTTGGTGTCTTTTATTCTCTTAGTTTTTTAGGAGTGTAGCTCCCTAAGGCGAGGGTCCGTACATCCTCCGCTGTATGTAGTAGTAGTAGTATTAGGTAGCCACCTCTGTTTTAGTTCTTGCAGTGTTCAGTAGATGGCGGTACTGGTAGTGTTAAGTGTAAAACTATATGGTAGTACTTGCAGTTGATGATGCTTGTAGTTGATAATTGTAAAAATAGATGCTGGTACTTGCTGTTGATGTTGCTTTAGTTGATGAATTTAAACCTATATGGCAGTTCTTATAGTTGATGATGTCTTAGCCGATAAATTCAAAAGTACATGGGCGTACTCAAGTTGATGAGGCTTGTAGTTGATAAATTTAAATCTATTTTGCGGTACGTGTAGCTCATGAGGAAAGAAGCCAGATGTTTTAATAGGAATGATGTCACATATGGCACGTGTCATTGGTGGAAGGCAATCGTTCGGCGACGTACGCTAGGGGGAGCGTTGTAATAAAATTCATTCGCTGTTTGCGCGCACTTGGATTCGCCGGATGAAGAAGCCTGCAGAGCAGCGAGCGCACAAGGCGGCGGCAGCACACGCTCACGAACAGAATTTTGATGTGCGAGCCTGCGAGGCAGAAGCGCGCCGTGAAACTGCACGACGCCACCGCCAAGATCGTGCCGTACGAGAGCGGGAGAGCCAAGCGGCACGGCATATACACACAGCGTTTCTCACGTCTTTAAATGATGATCGACTGGATGAATGACATGGAAGATTTAAGGTTTACCGATAATTCCCTCCGATGCTTCACGCACTCATCTTCATTCACCCCGTGGAAATGCTGTGAATCTTTCTCATTTCGCGCGAGAATGGTTACGGTCAACTATGGTGTACTGATTGTGATCTGATCACAGCTTTTTCTGCAAAAAAAAGGGGCTAAGAAGGTGTCTTACGTTCCCGGTCCACATCCAACGTCGATGAACTGGCAGCCCGTCATCCCGTCTCCTTCCGCTGCGCCACCAAGAATCTCCTCATCGCACAAGAATGCCGTGTGGAAAAAGTCCAATACAGCAGCCATTGTCGCCTCGATTATTTCCGAAGCCTCTTCGTAGACTTGGACGCTTTTAGCCGTAGCGAATCGAGCAGACTTTGCATTGGAGGAGATTCCATTGCCGCTCTTATCAACTGCTGGTGCATTCATCCTGGAAAAATAATTTCACGCACCAAAATAATAAAAGTTGCACTTTCACTGAAACGGGGAAGCAGTGAGTGTGACAGCAATCAATTAAAATCTCATGCGAAGAGTGGTAAGCAGATCTAAACAGGCAGCGCACTGCTCACGCACAATTTACGCACAAAAGGAACATACACAGGACGAGACCGAAGGAACGTTCACCGCTTAAACAAATTGACAGACCCACGTACCCACAAATGCAGACAGGATGAGCGCGGGCTAACGAATGTCTCCAGTTGTTATCTCTCTGCGTTCAAGTGGTGTTTTTTTCGCAAACAGGACTGCAGCGAGCGAAGTGAGCTTCGTGCGCTTAGTAGCGCGATTCTTCCGGTAGAGTGTACGTACAAAGAAATTTATTTATGATCCGTTGAAGTGCCACCTCTTAGGGCGACACCACGGTCTACCCCCACATGTGATGAGTTATAAAAGCCACATCACAGGCTCTCTGGATGGCCCAAAGTGGATGCTGATTTTTCGAGTTATTGAGAGCCGAGCTTCATTTCTGCTGTGTGCGATCCACACGTAACAAGGGACGATGACTCCATCAAGTATCTGACTGAGGAGATAAATCGGGTCTGGAAGCAAGTTTCGGTTCCAGAAACCTAGAAGTCCGTGTCGGTAAGACTCATTCCAAAGCTTGTAAAACCCCCAGGACACGCAAACCTTCGATCAATCTTTCTGACGTCATGCGTATAGGGTAGATTGCAAAGCACGCTATTCGCAAACGTATTTCGGACCATGTAGAGAGGATAAATGTGTTTCTGTACAACCTGGTCAGCTTCCGTCTGGCTTTGTCGACGCATAATGCGATGAAGCTCATCAAGTTTCAAATAATCGACAATCCAACCAGAGGCGTCTGGGCTATTCCTTGCTTAAAATAGGAAAAAGTCACAGCTTTGCCGGAAAAGCGAAGCAATGAACGTGGTAGCCACAAATTGAAAGGTCACGCACAAAATGGAAAGCAGATAGAAATATGCGAAGCATTTATCACGCATAAATAGCGCACGAAACGTACTCACAAGTACGAATGTACGCGAATAAGCGTCTCATTTCTTACTTTTGTCTGTCTTAAAAACACGCGCTTTTCGCAAACGGAAAATGCAATAATTGCCGTGACATTTGTGCACCCGGTAACTACAGCAGAATTGTTCCAGGTAAAGTCCGAAGCTAGGGAAGGCGTACGACCTTCCCTCCTCTACGCCACGGGATAAGGGTGCGTGGAGGAGCATTGCTCCTATTCTTTAAGCCGGGTAAAGCATGCGTAGGAGATTAGAGCGGGCGCCGTCGCGCAATGTGGCTACGCGCGCTCATTGCGCCATCTTGGTGGGAATGCTGAAAAAAACACAATTCGCCCCTGTGATGCTCCTGAACACTGGAAAGTGTTCAGGAGCATCACTAAGTAGCTTGTCGTTTAAACGATAAATGATGTGCTCCGGGATGGCTCAGTGGGTAACGCCTCGCTTTCATGACGCTGAGGTCCCACGTTCGATTCTGCGTGCCGGAGTGTTCTTCTTAAGAATTTTTTTCTTCTTTCTTGCGTTTTGAAATATATAGATAGGTATACGTATACGGGGCATGAAACGACGCCGACGCCCATGCCGAGGTCAGCACCGACGTTGGCGGCAAAATCAAGCCGATAGTCAATATAGCAATCAAAAATGGACAACATATCTCACGCACACATTCTAATTGTTATATTTGATCTCAATTTGGGCGCAGCCTTTTGCGGTTACAATAGCTCCTTTCTCAAGAAGCGGAAAGCGACAAGTTCGGAGACTCAACAACAGAGGCTTCCGAGCTTGGTTGTAAAGGCTCACTGGAAGAAGCTGTTGTGTCGATGCTATTATTTAACATGTCAAAGAGTGGTCTCTCAGGAAAGATCTCGGCTATAGGTTGTGTTAGTCACACACAATCTATGCAGATGATATAACTATATGGTGCAACAAAGGATGTGAAGGAGAGTTTGAGGCGAGACTTCAATCGCCAATCAATGAGGTTGAATCATACCTGCAAAACACGGAACTAAAATGTTCTTGTGTTGTGCTTGTGTTGTGTGTTCTTTGTAATAGTGGCTGCGCTTCCTAGCAAGATAAAATGTTCCCCCCGTAGGTCCGAGTTACTCATTTTTAAACCCATCAGACGAGGTCCCAGGCCCAAAGGATGGAAGACACTCACAAATGTTGACATCAGGCTAACCACACGAAATGGGAACTTCATTCCTAGAGTTGAGTTCGTACGCATGCTCAGCATGGCTATAGAATCCAAAGGATCTAATAAGCTTACCTTAGATAGCATAAACAAGAAAACGGAAATGGTAATCAGACTCAGTAGTAGCGTGTCTAATAGAAGAGGAGGCCTGAAAGAAGACAATTTGCTTAGTATTTTTCATGCCTTTTTCATTAGCTCCATCATTTATGTAGCGGCCTTGCACAACTGGCTCAACTTTGAGAAAAGAAGCTTATTATTCTTTTTTAAAAGCGTGAAAAGGGTGCTTGGTATTCCCAATAATGCTAGCACATAACGCCTCTGTCAATTAGGTGGGCACAATACGCTGGACGAAATCATTGTAGCACAGGCTTCACTGTCCTGCTCTTTGTCAGGAAGAGGAATCTTAGTCATTCCGGGCCTCAATTGATTGTTGGCAAAGAATGGAAGCTATCGAATCACAGAGGAGCAAAGACAAAATATTCTTGTACCTCTGATTCCTCACAATATGCATCCGCAGCACAATGAGTGAAGGCCTAAAGCAAGAGCAGTTATGATCCTGAAAAAGATCAATGATGAACCCAAATCAGCCTGCTTCGTAGATGCGGCACAAAATGGACGTTCATCACGCTACGCCATGATCGCAATAGATAACCGAGGTCAAATCTCCTCGTCGGCCTCCCTGTCGGGATTACCTTCACTAAAGTGGAGGAATGTGCTATTGCATTGGCCCTCTTGGATGACAGGAAGACGCAAATCTGCTCAGATTTCAAACCGGCCGTCAGGGCGTTTGCCTCGGGTTCCTTAGCGAAAAAGGTACATGAGGTTCTTAAGAACAAGACCGTAACTATGCACATAAACTCTTGGTTCCAAGCACACCTAGGTCACAACTTAGACTCACTCACCAGCCTCAACGACATCACTCCCGAGGGAGCATACTAACTCTCTGCGCGGGAAGAGAAGCCTTGTCACCATGCAGGTTTCAAGAGTTCCGGGACACTTTATTCACATTTATTGAATTCACAAAGCACTTCTATGTAGAATGAAGACTTTTCTCCACACCACTAAAAGCTCATGAGACCACAAGCAATGACGCTTAGGATGCTACAAAGAAATTCTTATCCGTATCTTGCTTTCCTGCACTTGTTAGCGTCCTGTATCCCGCTTTTGGTAAAATTTAGGGTACCGAAGATATGGCCGTGAAAACGTGAAATATGACCGAGGACACAACACACGACTCATCCACTGTTAAGAAAATGTAAAGAAAATAAGCCGGTATTTAATTAGGAAAACTAGGTTACAATATTACTCGCGCAACCACCCAATACCGCACATCGCACAACGCACAACCGCTCAAGTCGCCCGCAATTCGCAGACTCTTCTTCGCACGCCGTACTCACTGCGTCTCTGGCTCTTCCCTTGCTTTTCGCTCTCCTCTCTCGACCACAGATCCGAGTACACATACGCGAACGCTGACTCAAACACACACACACACACACACACACACACACACACACACACACACACACACACACACACACACAGGTGCTTAAATGGTTCCACGAAGTCAGTGGGGGAGGTCCGTCGCTTTGCCATTCGGAGAAGCAGTGTCGAACGCCCCGCAGGCCACGGATGTGCAAAGCGACTTGTTTACCTCTTCTTGCATCCGAAGTCGCAAGGTGCAGTAAAACGTGCCGCCGCCTTTGTGCTGACCAGGCGCCCGCAGCACTGGGAGACTCACCAATCGCAGCTGCCCATAAACAAGGAAGACGGCCCCTTCGAGTGACCAACGGACACTCGCGCGACACAACACACGCAAAAAGAAGAAAATAAAACAAAACTTGGAAGTTTTGAAGCAGTCGCGTACACTCGGTCAGCCTGACAGTCATTAACGTTCTCGTTAATAGAAAAAATATCATAAACGAACCCACACGCCAATACACCAACAGAATTGTTTCCTTCGTCGAAGAAGACAAGAAAAAAAAGAGCAACTGTTTAAGTTCGCACAGTTCGCTCGGTAAATCTCGGCACGCACTGAAGTTCTTAAGAAGACGCCAACGCAACTATGGCGCACTCGCATAGGGATGGGTCTTGGCGCAGCTACGGGCCGAACGTCTCAGTCGCTGCACCTCACATTCGGGAGCGTCCGACTCCTCCGCAGACTCTTCGTGGTCATCAAGGTGTGAATGTGGATTGGTCGTTGTCCAGCACTTCAACTGCGACACGTGCGCAGTGGTCGCGAAGCGGCTCACCCTTGTTTTGTCAAGGTCGGCAACTCGATACGTGTCAGCTGGCACCACTGCCGTTATTACAAAGGGGCCCTATATTTTGGCTGCGCTTTGGCAGGCTTTCCCGTCTGTTTTGGAGCCCTCGCCAGGAAGACTACGTCACCTACACCGTACATTTTAGCCGGGAAGTGGCGCTTGTCGTAAGCGACCTTCATCTTCTTCTGCTCGTTTATGAGGCGCTGCTGTACACGTTCGCGCGGCCCACCGGGCTCCTCCCACACTGACGCTCTAGATTCAGCCAAGCGCTTCAGTGCCACGCTGTGAAATTCCGGTCGATAACCATGTAACATCTCGAAGGGAGTCTTCCCGGTTGTCTTGTTTACAGCTTTGTTGAAGCTGCACTCTGCCTCACTGAGCTTTTCGTCCCAATCTCGCTGCTCTGTATCGACCATCGATGTAGTATTGACTGGTAGAAGTGTACGGTTCACTCGCTCGACCAGGCCGTTAGCTTGAAGACGTTGAGTGGAGTTGAGCA